TTATTTTCGTCATTCTTGTCCAGGTCGCTTGCACCTTTGCATTTATTGCATTATCATCACTCCTCTTTTTTTTTTCTCTCTCTCTCTCTATCTGCACTTTTACCCTAATTTAATTGGCATTTAGGCTTTTTCTTATCCACTATTTCAACCTCCGACTACAAATGAGAGGGGAAGTGCCCGAGAGGAGCTAAAACCTGTAACAAATGTGATCGTGTCGGCTCGATACGTAATTCGATGCGAATATTTTCATTCGCTCGCTTTATCGCATCTACGGGTTGTCCGGCGCAACAATTTATTAAAATACGTCGAGGTAACGTTACTGTAACGTCACGTTCGAATCTTAGAAAGGTAGCGGAAGCGCCTTCCTTTCGAACCAGCAAAACTTGCCACGAGGACTCGTTCCATGATTAAGAGAAAACGAAAAACGCGTTTGTTCTTTTTTGACGCGTGCATTACATTGCTTTTTAGTTTATGTGGCGTAGCAACGGTCGAACAATCAACCACGTGCACCGAAAAAAAAAAAAAAAAAAAACACGGAGCCCCACAGCGGTCGTGCTGGACCCGGAGGAGAGCCAAGCCGGGCTGGGCGATGGTCTCGCACACCCCTCCTCCCCGGGGTTTATCACCGTTCCAAATCATAATCTCGCGTCGCCAGGCACGCGGAGGAGGCCTGGCCTTCGAGCGCTTCCCCCTCACCAGGATGAGGAGGAGGACGTGGAGGGAGGGGACGCTGGCTCTATCCCCCGCAAAATGCACGACCCATAAAGAAGATGATGGCCTGCCAGAGAGGGAGAAGTTTCCAGCACACACGCCCTAACTCCCCGTAGCTTTTTTTCCCCCGTGCCTCCATATCTCGCCCCGTGCTAATATCGGGGCAGTTGTATAGCAGCCGGGGCAGGCCGTCGTTTTGGAGCGTGAAGACCCGTGTACCCGTAAAGTGACAGTGAGGATGAAACTAAACGCCCTTCTTGCAGAACCAATCATCGGACTCCCTGTGATCACCCGACTTCGCTTTCGGCGCGTGAGCATGCAGTTCAAAAAGTATGAAAGCGACGAGGACCAAGACGAAGCAAAGGCCGGTTCAGACACTTGCGTTTGAGTGCGTTTGACTGCGTTGCGTCGAGTGCGGAAAGCTAGTCACCGGCACATCTGTGCTTCGTATGGAGCGTGGAATCCAATCCAAGGAATCATCTTGGCACGCGATATAAGCAGTAGGGGTGTCCTGGTTTCTCGCTGCCGCAACGCAGTCAAACGCAGTCAAACGCAACTGTCTGAACCAGGCTTTAAGTTTCATACCAAAGACAGCTGCAGGCATGATAGCAGACGTATCTGCGGATGTGCCTCAGGCACGTTTGCTTCATACATACGCATGCTTCGTGTGCAGACAGTTGTTTCGACAGTGCTTCATCTGCAGGGAGACGTATGATATGAGTGGTTCTATGAGCACGCAGCCTTCCACCGCGCTGTCGTCCACTGCGAATACAGGCAAACATACATGGAGGACAGGGCGCCGCAGCATCACGATTCCAAGACAATCGCCTGCGCTCTCTATCTACGGACGCATCTGCCGCTTGAATCGAGCCGGGGGCCACTAACGCTTTCAACAATAGATCTATAGATATATAACTCTATGGTAAAAAGAAAAAAAAAAATGTTACACAAAAACTAAATAAAAAAAAAACACTGGCTAGGTGGCGCAAGCAGCCGCCCGATTCAGCTTCATCCATCCAACGATGACGCCATGCGCGGGCCTTGTCCTCTAGGCGGTATTTGGCCCTGTGCCTTCGTTCGTGTAAAGCGCGGCTGAAGTTACGAGTCATCCGAGCCAATCCGGGGCTGTGTATGTACAACGTGGGTACTTCGCTCGTTGCTGGGTCCTACCAAACGGTCACATGACAACAGTCTGGGTGTTGGGTTGGCTCGATGGGTCGTATGGCCTTCCCTGTGCTCCGCGACAACTTTTCTTGGCAATGCAGTGGAAGGTACAGGCCCGCGTTCCCTCTCCCATTTTGAGTGCACGCAGGCTCTCCTCCTTCCCCATTTCCGGGGAGAGGAGGAGAGCCCGCGCACACTCAAAATGGGAGAGGGAACGCGGGCCTGTACCTTCCACTGCATTGCCAAGAAAAGTTGTCGCGGAGTATAGTGTGACTATACAACACATACTGCGTCCCTTGTCCCCAAGTGGTGATCTTTTGCTTTTTTTCTTTTTTTTTTTCGATTGTGCGTCCCGAGAAAGGATTTTTGGGAGGCGGTCTGCCGCGGTTTTACAAGGTTTAAATGGCCATTGTGTGATACATGGTCGCTTATTCTTCCTTTGTTCGTTTGATGGTTGGTTTGTGCGCAGGCACACCTACATAAGGCACCGGATTTCAAATTATTCATAATAATATTAATATTATTATTGGCTTTTCTTAAATTTAATAAACACTTTTCTCATAGGCGCCCGAAGCATCCCTCGACAAAATATAAATGCCGAAAAGTGGTGAATATACGAACGAAAATAAAAATAAATAACAACCCACCATTTTTGGTGGGTCGTTATTCCCTCGTATAATCGGCTCGAGATGATGTGGCCGGTTGCTCTGGTTACAAGTTCGACACGAACACAATCGCGTCGAGGGATTTGGGATGAGGCCATATGCTGTGGCAAATTGAATTTTTGATAAAACTGTATTTGTACTTTCTGTGGCGCACAAGAAAACCATCGACAAAATGCTATGCACTTCTTTTTCTTTTTTACACGAGCTATTGTGTAAGCGCAGCAAATCAACCCAAAATATTTTTGTTATCTTCTTTTTTGTTTTTGAGGGGGTTGGATTGAGGCAGACGAGAATAGACGTGTATGTTGCTTGCCTGCATCGTCCCTGACTATACTCTGTTTCACCTTTTGATGTACCGCAGGAAAGGCTACAAGCGCGAGCTCCTTCCTCTGGGGCACATCTCGGCGGCACAAGCTCTCGTGACTTAAGAGCGGCTGCCAACGCTATGAGCTCGCGCTTCTAGCCTTCGCTGCGGTACAACATCAGGTGAAACGAAGACGTGATCACGTGATTCGGTATTCGGCGTTCTGATGGGCCGATGACGCAATTATATCGACTGTGGACTCTTAGAGCTACGATATTCTGGACTCGCTGCGCCCCGAACTGCTTTTGCTGTCGGTGACTTTAGTGGGTTACGTTATTGAAGGTGGATGCAATCGAACGTGAAACTTCAGTTTTTCTTCTGTTTTGTGTGTTGCAGGGGGCAGCCATCATGCAAGTCGTAGTACTCTTGGGTCAGGAGCCGCGGTCCCTTGCGTACGATGGAGTTCGAAGCGCCGGTGAGGCGAGGGCCGGTGAAATGCAGACGACTCTCGACTCGTCTTTCTAGGTGGGTTTCCCTTTCTCTTCGATGTCGCGGGCTTCTCCGACACCTGGAACGCGTAATGCGATCCAATAAGTCGGCTACAACGTAATGGCGAGTAGACGAATCAAATGGATCCCGGTGGAAACGGGTGGTGGGGAACACAGAGAATCCTTAACTTCCTTCAGGCACGTAGCCAGGGGGGGGGGGGGGGGGGGGAGGAGGGAGGGGGGGCGGGCGCGGCGGCATGGGGTTTGCCCCCCCCCCCCCCCCCCCCCCCCGAAATCTTCCATTTTGCTTTGACCTCCTCTCTCCCCTCTCCCTCGTACAGCATTGGGTGCCCCCCCCCCCCCCCTCCTCCCCCGAAACAAAATCCTGGCTACGTGCCTGACTTCCTTGCTTCTTCTGAAAGGGCGCAGAAAGTTGTCCGCGAGTAAAGTGCTGCAAATGAATATTACCCCAAATAGCGTTTACTTTCTTTTTTTGTGAATTTATAGCGCTTTGTGGCCCCATGGTAGCGAATATTCTTTTCGTTCCAGACTTCAAATTATTTTTTTTTTTTTTTTGCGGGTGAAGTTTGATGTACTCAGGTGCGATTTTGCTTGCGAATTCGCAGCTGCGACGTCGGCGTAACCGCGCTAAATTTAGCTGGAAAATTGACGTCACGTGACCTCAACACCAATTCAGTTTCCCCGCTAAATTTAGCGGGGAATATTACGTCACATGACTTGGTGTCACGTCACCTATGAACGGGAAAATTGACGTCACGGGACCTCAGCAGCAATTCAATTCCCCGCTAATTGAATTGCTGTTGAGGTCAATTTTTCAGCTAAATTTAGCGGGGAAACTGCGGGAGGAGGGGAGGGTACGGAGGACGAGGATGGGAAGGTACGCAGAAGGAAGAGGAGGGGAAGGTACGGAAGAGGAAAAAAGGGGCAGAGGAGGAGGAGAAAGTAGAGGAGGACGAGGAGGAGGGGGTACGATACTCTCCCCTCCGTACCCTACCGTGTTCCTCCTAATAGCTGCGCTCTAATTTCGCGTTAGAGATTTGTAAACGTCTTTCATTTTTTTTTTTTTCGCACGAACGATGTTGCAATTGCGAAATCGGAAGCAAAATCGCCCCCTGTGAATCAGGCTTAATAGAAATCATTGCACACAAATCTCATTTATTCGTCGTATTGGCGGAAGTGTATTTTAATTTTCTATTCTGATTACGTCTAGATTTTAACCAAACTGTTGTTGAAACACTTGGTACACAGAGGTTTGTTTTGAGGTGTTAGGTGGTTGCATGTATTAATCCCCGTGTTCTTAAGACGGTCCTACTCTTTTTTCTTTTCTTTTTCCTGTGCCCTTTTGCGTTTAAATAAGCATAAAATCTGAAGTGTCTTCTTTATTGCACCTAAATCTCCATCGGAACATAACGCCGCTTTCCTAAACTCAGCATGGTCTAGATAGGCGGTGTTTGTTTTCTCTGACTTTATATATATAATGTCTTCGTAAAATTAACAAGTCTATGTTTACTTAAAGCCTCCTATACCTATGGCCGGTCTTTGGCCGCCGGCAACCGCTCAAGCTGGAGTTAATAGTGCAAATTTAGAGAACCAACTTTCAACCAGAGATTCAAAAGCCTGTATCTTAGGAATTTCGTAAACAGACACGACGTCCGTGATTTCTTCCGACGCTCCCTCGCAGCCCGAACACCCAAAAATGGCGGCCTCCTTGTCAGACCCCGAGGCCCCCGGAGAAGCAGAGGCACCTCTCAAGCCCCGTTCCTTCCGGTCCCTGCCGCGGTCTTCGACGCCTCGACCGTCCAGAGCTTCTTCGCCGACCTCCGTTCTAGTGGTGTTCCTGGACGCATTTATACCATTCTCGACCCTCGCCGAACTCGCGGTCGAAGTTCTCCTAGCCGCACTTGCGGTCTACGTGGTCCTGTCTCTCGCAGGCGCCTTCCAGGTGAGTGGAGGACGAGGTCCTGGTAGACGTCCGCCCCCGTTCCGCTGCGACGACCCCAACCTCCAGTCGCCGTTCCTCGTCGAGAGCGTCCGGACCAGGGACCTGGTCGCCTTCGTGGTGACGGCACCTCCGATCATCCTCTTAGCCTTGGAACTTCGACGTGGCGCCGGTAGCGCCCTGAGGGACCGTGCCTTCTGGGCAGGACGTTTACTCCGCCGCTACTTCGTGGGTCTACTCCTGGTTGCCGCCGCGACGCAGCTCCTCAAGGACGTGGTGTCTGAGAAGAGGCCCCACTTCATGGACTCTTGTAGGCCTGCCGTCCTGGACGTGTTCTCCCGGAACGCGACGCCCTCCTGCGAGGGGTCGTCGGCTACGTCGTGGGTGACGGACTACGTCTGCTTGGGTTCGCCTCGGGGAGTGTCCCACTCCTTCGATTCCTTCCCGTCGGGACACGCGAGTGCCAGTTGTTACGCCGGGTTCTTCCTGATCGGGTACGTGGTCTGGAGAGGCGACGCCGTGGCACCGGCGACCGTTAGGGTCCTGGTCGTGGCCCTGTTGTCGGCCGCTTCGGCTGCGGTGTCCGTTTCGAGGATCGTGGAGATGATGCATTTCTGGTGGGACGTGGCGGTCGGGGCCGCCTTGGGTCTCGGCTTGGCCGTCCTCTTCGTGGTGTGGCCTTTCTCTTGAAGGGGTACGAAGCCTTGCGCTGGAGATGTCCACTGACAGATTAAAAAGCGTAGGGCGTAGTGCGACTGAGATCCTATCATCGCTCTTTACCCAGTGAGATTTCGACATTAGCAGATAAGAACACCGAAGAGCGAATCACGAAGTTGGAACATAATATGCTACGCCCCGCGTTTCTTAAATTATCAGTGACTGTTTGTTTTCTTGCTTGCGTTCGGAAGAGCATGGCCTTTCCTGTAGCCAGAACTAGTCCGCTGAGCCATGGGGCCTAAGATGCATGGGATCAAGGCTTGATCCATCTCTGTGTTACCACTGTGTGGGGAAGAGATTTGTGCAACGTCTCCGGCACGACCATCTGAAGGGGTTGCAGTTAATGCGAGGGAAAACTACGCCAACAGATGATCAATGTCGGGGTGTAGTTCCCATATCCCTCGTCCCTCGCCATGAAAATCGTGTCTGGTGGAAGTGTATTGCTGTTGATTCATTTTGTTGCTGCAGAAAATGCCTGGTTGATCGGAGGTTCTGTTGTCACGCCGATGGGAACTGGTACCAAATGTGAAAAGAGCAGAAGGTGTTCGAAAATTAAAACAGGTAGAGGAAAGGAGTTTGTGAGGCAGCAAGCTACCCGAGCTTTGGCGCCATACATCTCGTTACGTTAAATTCACCACTTTTCTTTTTCTTTTAGAGCGCAGCTCTTAGGGGCCCGTTCCCGGCTTGAGCGGCGTCGCCGTCGGCGTCGGCGTCGGCGTAACCGCAACCCTCGTAACCCTCGTGAGGGTTACGAGGGTTACGAGGGTTACCCTCACGAGGATCACGAGGGCCACGAGGGTAACTAACCCTCGTAACCCTCGTGAGGGTTACGAGGGTTACGAGGGTAACCCTCGTGAGGGTTACAAGGGTAACTAACCCTCGCGAGGGTTACTTACCCTTGTAACCCTCACGAGGGTTACGAGGGTTAGTAACCCTCGTGAGGGTAACCCTCGTGAAGGTAACCCTTTTGAGGGTTACGAGGGTTAGTAACCCTCGTGAGGGGAACCTTCACGAGGGTTACCCTCACGAGGGTCACGAGGGTTATGAGAGTTACCCTCACGAGGGTTATGAGAGTTACCCTTACGAGGGTCACGAGAGTTACCCTCACGAGGGTCACGAGAGTTGCCCTCACAAGGGTTACTAGGGTTACCCTCACGAGGGTCACGATGGTTACCCAGGTCGTGACCCCCCCTGGGGTCACGTGACCTGGGGATACCCCCCGAGGTCACGTGACCCCCCGTTGACGTCATAGGCACTGATGACGTCGTCAGTGACGTCACTGATGACGTCACTGGCATCCGCATCGTCATCGTCATCATCACTGATGACGTCATTAGTGATGTCACTGATGACGTCACCGGCATCCGCATCGTCATCATCATCACTGATGGCGTCATCAGTGACGCTACTGATGACGTCATCGGTATCGTCACGTGGCCCCAGGTCACGTGACCCCCCGACGTCACGTGACGCCCCAAGGTCACGTGACTCCCACAAGGTCACGTGACCCACAAGGTCATGTGACCCCCAAGGTCACGTGACCCCCCTTCCCCGAGGTCACTTCACCCACCCCCCAGTACCCTTCCCTCCTCCTCCTCAAGAGCTGCGCTCTAATTCGGCGTTACAGGGAGTTGTAAACGGCTTTCATTTTTTTTACATTGAGAACAGCTGTTTGCATTTGGTGTCCCGTCTAGCTCAGCATCTATATCGTGCCAACAAATACCTGCTGACCCCGGCACAATCTGTAGGCGTCCCACATGTGACATGTCATACTACAATGCGGAGTCACTGCAAAAGGGGGAGGGCCATATTTACATGCATAGTGGTGACATCACCATGAGCGAACCACTCTACATCATCCAGTCAATCATAGTTGTCGTTAAGCAGCATCATCGATAGGAGATCAGAAGTCACTTCCAACGCGCATTTTGCTCACCTCACCAAATCTAGAGGTGAGGTAATCATTTCTGAGTCACTTTGCAATCTCTTGATGTATGAATCTAGTGAGAAAGCAATGTTTATTGTACAATGCCCGTCACTGCGCACTTTTCGACAACGTTGATGTTGCTTCTCCGTTGCACCCTTGTCGATCTATCGCATTTATTTTAAAATTCATAATTAGATAGCTGTCAGTGTCTTCCATTCCATCTCTTTTTATTCCGTTGTACTATATTGCATTTAATAGGATCTGGATTTTTATTTAATGAGATCCGAGTTTTTCTTTGGCGTGTCTTGTTGCGTATTTTGTGATTGCTTATTGTGCGTCTCTAGTGTCAAAATATGCTCATTTGTGATTTGAGCACCTCGGATAGATATATACGTTGTATGTTTGTAATGTGCCAGAAATGCGCAGCCGACTTTGCACTGAGATGAATTCCGCTTCAGTGTTTACATTTATACCTCCTTGTATTTGTCATTTCATGTATTGGTGAGTTATTTGTTGGCATAATAGAACCCAAATCAACCAACATTGACGCTTTTTTTTTTTTAAGGGGGGGGGGGGGGGTTATGGAACACGTGATTGGTTTCGAGTCCTCGACGAACGCGGACGCAGCTCTCGTGTCCAATACATGCTCAAGTGTACGCTCCCAAACAACGACGACCTCGTACAAATGACGCAGCAGCGGCTACTAGGTGGTGCTGCTCACTTTTGAAAAAGGTATATATTGCCAGTTTGGCCGACATTTCGCATATATAACTACACATATATGTGTGTATATACTCCGTCAGCCCGGTTTTGAAGTTAGTCTACACACGAGTCACTGTAATTACAAGTAGGCCGACGTAAGAACGCATTGTACACTATTCGAGAAGAGATCTATGCACAGATGTGCAGACCTGAGAGGAAATGCAACGCATGTTCCGATACTATACGTGTGCCTTTCTGTCTTTCGTAAGTATCCCCAAATGCTGTTTTTGTTGTTGTTGTTGTTGTTGTTTTCTGTCGTTTTTGTTGATTGCTACCGCATTTTACGTTTTCATCGTTTCATCCTATTTATCGTTATCAGCGATCGCGAGGGGGCTTATTTTTAGAATATGCGAGAGAACTGTTGAATTTATAAAATCGGATTATTACGGCGTGTCTTGCGATGAAAAATAATTTGTACAACGCCCAAATGTTCTTCTCTCACGATCGCTTTTTGAAGCCTGTAGTGCGTGACATGTTAAGAGTTCAGGGGAAGCTGTTCCCACCGCTTTACGGGCAGAGCGAACGCTTTAGAGGAGGCGACCTCCTCTCCAGCGTTCGCTCTGTTAAAGCATAAAGAGGTGGAGGAGTTTTCACTTTGCTCCTAATCCCCGACTCTAGTTTCACTCGTGTACAGTGCATAGCACTTGGTTTCTTGAGCCCCGAAACTTTATAGTTTCACTCGTGTACAGTACATAGCACTTGGTTTCTTGAGCCCCGAAACTTGCCCGTGCCATATACGACGGTTGTCGTTTCTGAACAGGGTTTGTGAACACAATTGCATGCGGTTGAGTGCCGTCCCTCTGCGCGTGCCTGCCGAGCCGGAAACCTGTGTCTTTCCTAAACCCAACATCGCGTAATCGCTTGCAGCGGCGGACAGTTCGCTTCGTGCAGATGGGACCAATCGGATCACTTTAAAAGCGCAACGTCACGACGTCCATCTTCCTTTTGTGCGTGTTCCATCATCGCCTAAAGCCGCTAACCCAATGAAGTGCAGTCAATGCTCCGTGACTTGCATTTTTAGTCTGTGTGTCCGCGTTTGTATGTGTTGGAGCCTTTGACCGCGCTCTGACGTACTGTGGAACGAAGTATTATCAGTGTTGCCGGAACCTGTGTGACCGGTCCTTGCCACTGCTGCGAGACAGGCCTTTCGCATTTGATATGCATTTGCGCATGGCTGGAATTGCATTGATACCGGAAAAGTTGATACAGATATACGATGTGTGCAATATGTTGTTTTCAGAAAAAGCGTTGACAAAGTGCCAAGTTTATAAAAAGTGCACTTAGTGGAGCTCTTGCAATGTTATGTTCTTCTACCTTCACAAGGGTCCAAGCCTGTTTTCATGCTTCAAATGTACACGCTAAACGTTTGTATATATATGTTAAGTCTCGCGTGTTCTGGTCATTTTGTAATCACTCGCTGTAGAAGAGCGTTTTGATGTACCTGTGATGTGCAACTGTGCCTTGAAAATCCTCTTCTAAGTGCACTAAACAGATACCGCTAGTCCCTATTAACGAATCGTGAGACGATTGCCTTTCCCTAAAAACACGTTTTCCAATAAAACGTTGGACGTTCTTGGTACACAGTAGGTTTCTTTCTTTGTTCGCTCGCTTATTTCTTCTCTGCCCGCGAGCCAGGCACGTAGCCAGGGGGGTGGCCTATGGGGCCCGGGCCCCCCTCGAAATTTTCCATTTTGCTGGGGACTCCTCTTCCCCTTCCCCTCATACAACATTCTGTCATGGGCAGCCCCCCCTCCCCCCGAAAGAAAATTCTGGCTACGTGCCTGCCGCAAGCGTTAGCGGGACACGACGTTCGAAAATCGACCAAAGGTACGCCCCCTCGAAACTCCCCACCGGAACACGTGACTGTTTGTTTTCCGTTTTGGCGCGTGTTGCGCGGCGTAGATTTCACATCCAAAGCACGAACCAGTGTTGCCATATCTGAGTGAGGTCATCGTTATTGGCTTCGTTTTGCGTCTCATTCGCACGCTTGTTTTGCTTTTTCGAAGGAGACGCCAAGCGAAGCCACGCGCATCATCGATAAAGCTAGAGCGCTGCGGAAAGTACGCTAGTTTAGCATATCCCAGAGTCGCTAAATAAGCTACGCTTTCAGAGTACCGCATCCATTTTCTTCGTCGTTTTGCCGACAATACTGTCGCCCTATCCAACAATATTCTGGTCCGCTGCGGCGTCATTGGTCAGCGGCAGTCACGTCAGTCGCTATCATCATCATCGCGTTTTCTCAACGCCACCATCTTGGGTCCAGCGGCAGCCGCCTCGGTGGCTCCGAGGCGAGAGCGCCGGCCTACGGATCCCCAGGTGGCGGGTTCGAATCCCGACCGAGGTGCCCGCAGTATGACGGAGGCTTATTGCGGAGAAGGCGCCGTGTAACCGAGCTTTCGGTTGCACTTCAAAAGATCCCCAGGTGGTCGAAATTAATCCTCAGTCCTCCGCTGGGGCGTGCCAGATGCCCGTCGTAGGTTTGGCACGTAAAACCCCCTAATTTGGCTTTTTGGGTACAGCGGTCCTCTGCCTGCTGCTGTTTACTGTTTACTGCGCGCGCACGCTGAATTCCGTCGCTCAGCACGCTTGTTTTCCGTGTTACGTCTGGATACGAGCAACACGACCTTGATTCGCTGCCACAGCTGCGGTTGCGGCAGCTGGAGAAGGCGACGGCTACAGCTCGGCTTGACTTGGCTAGAGTCACCCCTCCATCTGCGCGTGGACTCAAGATGGCGGCGCCTGTCGCGCTTCAGAGGCATAGTTTTGGATTTTCGGTACTCTGAAAGGGTAGCTTTATTTAGTGACTCTAGCATATCCTAGCGATAAAAAAATAATAATAATAATAATGACACCGAGTATAATGTGCTTTGCCGTAGAGTGTAAGTTCCCCGAATGTCATCCTGGCGATATCTCACACTGCTTCATGATAATTACGAAAATAGAAAAAAAATGCTTTAACTTTAAAAAAAAATGTGTGTTTGTTAGGTGGCGCATGCTATCGCCTGTTTTAAGGGCATCGCCGTCAACGTCCATCCATTCATGGCTCTGCGCGTGGCTAAATCGCACGTGACCCATGCCAAACAATGCTCGAGCTCGCGTTCTCCGTCTGATCTGAAGAAGCAGGCCACACGACCTTCCTCCCGAAAAAGGTAATTACCGCTTCCCTCGCATTCATTTTTTCTTAACCGGCAATGCTCGCAATGGCACCGGTGTGCGGACGGTGAGCGGCGTTAATCCGGGTTCGATTACGGAAATCCCGCCAAAGCAAGAGCACGTCGACCTCCTCCGCCGCGGCTTCTCTAGCTGGAAAACTATGTCCTTTTTGGGTAAGTGCCAGCACCTTTCGGAAACGAAAATCTCTGTAGTGCAACGTGACCGCCCATCAAGACTCCCTACAGGGGGTATTCAGTAGCGGGCATAGCTGAATCTGTGGCCGCTGAACGTGAGCCTCCGGCGAGCTTCCATTGAGCTTTAACAACAAGCATTCCACACCATCAAGATTGCCTGTCTTGGGCAGCCCCTGCAAAGATCGCCATCTGCGCGCTGCCATATTTGTCTGCTGGACCGTGGAACGCCTTCTGAGCATGCGCTGTTGCTCTGCTGTGCGGTATATCGGACGCTGCGCATGCGCACATAGCTTAGTGACTACGCATTTTTCGCCGGGGTGATAAACGCTGCAAAGGTCTAACTCTGGAGCTCGTTCTGAGCGTACGCAGTGAACGGCGCACTCAAAGTTTGCGTCCGATTGGATCTATGTGGAGAGCAAGTCGTCTGCTTCTTGCTCAGGAGTGGCGGTGACGTCAGAACGACGCCGAGCTCTTATTGGCTGATTGGGAAATATAGTGGGTAGACCTCAATGCTAGATGCCTTGAGGTCTGCGTATTATATTTTTCAATCAGCCAATAAGGGCTCGGCGTCGTTCTGACGTCACCACAACTCCTGCGCAAGAAGCAGACGACTTGCTCTCCACATTGGATCTCGGCAGCTCCGCACACTTGTAGACCCTTTGGGGGGTAATCTTCAATGAAAGGCTTAGGCGGTGCGATTCTACTAATCGTGCTCTTCGGTTTGAATTGCACCCGTTTATCTGCCCACCGCGTCTTCTAATTAGTGTGATCATGACGAACAAAAACACACAAGTTGGCCGCAACTATCACGGTGACTTTATCACTCCTGCTACGATCGGGTGAAGCCATGTCAAGTAGCACCAAACGTGCATCTTCGACAGTAAATGCGCCGCCATCTTGCGCTTTTTCTTCTCTTTTTTTTTTCTGTCCGTGATTGGGTTAGTTATTGATGGAAACGCACGAAGACGGCGATGACCTGCGCCATGACGGAGCACTTTTGGCGCTGCCATGATTGACTTCACATAATACTAACACCTCGTCCTGTGGTAGCTTTTTTGAAATAAATAGCGCGAAGGTCAAAAACAAACTGACGGTACAAGCGCTTGCGCTTGTACCGTCAGTTTGTTTTTGACCTTCGCGCTATTTATTTCGAAAATGCATATCCAACTAGCCCACCTTAATATTTTAGTACTGTGGTAGCTCTTTTTGCTAACAAAGGTACTTCCCTGAGCTTTCCCAGAAGGCAATCTTTTCGTTAACAAGGAAGCTTATTCCATAGCAGCATTGTTGCGAGACGGGATAATCCTTACAAAAAGAATACTAGCCCTTCGGGGCCGCACACAGCTCAAGCCAGTGTTCAACCTCTGCTCCTTGAAATTTCCATCTATTGTTTTTAAATTATGAAGTACCTTTATGTATAGTGCATTTCGGCGGCAGTTTCCAGAGTTTTCTTCTTTAGTAATTTTCGGAGAATTTAATTGAAATAGTTGGGGTAACTCCTGGAAACGTTGGCGGACTCGAAAGATGTAATTTCGTAGACGCTCTGAAGATAGGTCTTATTATTTGACTTGGTAATTAAGGTGTTTGTTCGCGGTGCACGCTGAGCTGTGGCTCATGGTTCATGGTTATTGTTTGCTAAGAGCTGTAATCTTGGTGGTGTGAAATATAATCTGCCGACCTGTACCCAAGACTTGAGCATACAGAGCGGCGGTCTCTCGCTGAAGACCGCCTATGAACTAATACCGAGAAAGTAAGTATGCATTATACGTTGCAAAATGCGAGCTATTCGCCTGACTTCGTTATTCTCACGAATCTGGTTCCACTGACCTTTCAGCTTGTGTGACGCTATAATTACGTAACAAAACATAAATCACTCTTTAAAAAAAAATCGTCGTTAAAGAACTTTGTTGGTTCTTGGGCTTGTCCATATTTCAATCGTAATAATAATAATAATAATAATCTTTATTGCCTCAGGAGAGCCGTGGCGCCGCGGAAAAGCGACAGCCCGTACCATGGAGGTTCGCGGTGCCACGTGTGGTGATGATGATTATGAGATGAGAGTGTATGCTACAGCTGCATCAGTGCACAGAACGCGCACCCGAGTGGCGTTCTCAAGCAAGTGAGCACCGCAAACGTCAGAGACAGCTAGGCCCCTGTTTGCATTGGTAACAGCAAGGAGATTTCGCCACGACTTGTGGGTGTCCACTTTTGTTAACGCCCGATCAGGCGCCACCTTGATCGCTCCGTAGCCGTAGGAGATCACACAACACAAGGTATAGAAGGGCTTTTATTACACACTTTTAGTATAGCGTTGCCGGCTCTTGCGTACGCAATAGGATAGCGCACGCTAAAAAGTATACGGTGCTTGGGCCGATTTCAGTTGAGCGTTCCGTAAACGTTGCCGAGTGAACATCTCGCATGATCTTGATTCAATTTGCCAGAGCCGCGGAATTCTGCGTGCTTAGAGCGCCACCATACTCCTCAAAAGGAATATTGAGTATGAAAACGTTTCCAATTATTTTATTTCAAATTAAGCCACGCCGCAGCTGCCTGGTCAAGCGCGAGTGCGTAGCCAAGTATACGGTTACGCCGCATACGTCAATCGTCCCGTGGAAACGGCTCGTTTTATCAATGGTATCTCGGGAAGAAATCCATGACTTACTAATGTCTCGTGCAGAAAAAAAAAAAAAAAAAGATAGACGGCGATTTATTAATTTTTTTATAGTTTTTTTTTTTTGGTGATGAACTGCGCGAAGAGGTGCAGAGCAAAATCCACAGCGTTGCGTGCGTGCGCAGTACGATAACCCTTCTATTGCGTTCTGCACATGCGCAGTCTCGACCCGCAATTTATTTGCGTACGCGAAGCTTTTGCGTGCGGTACACTAAAACTTTACTGTCTCACAGTTGGACGAGCTGGAGATAACGCCTTGACCTTTCGCTGTTCCATGCCCGTCCGTTCTCGAGGGGCCCATGTCTGGTCCTTTCGTGGCCTCGATCTCCGCAGACTATAGAAAAATCCGCAAAATACGGAGGCTTAGCATAAACGCCAGCTCCGGTGTTGGCACCGCTGCTGTCTGCCACCGTAGTGCATCGATCGACACCGGTACAAGCCGCGCCTTGCATTTCGTATTGCGGGTGTATCCTGACCACTTTTCGCTGGGAGTCTTACAGTTCTTATGTGACCGAGCGTTAAGCTCAGTCACGTGCAGTCGCCAATCAACAAGATATGATGTCAGCTGGAAATAGTATCATTCTGGAACCAAGTAACCCCCGAAAACGACGTGCTCATGCGGGCTAGTGGCAACTCAACATGCGCAGGGAACAGTTTAGAAAATCTAAATACCTTCAATGCTGATAGTCATTCGGTCCATCACGCATGTCAGTTGTAGGGTCACCGCGTGATGTGCAAAGCATGACTTTTCGAAGAGAACGGGCTCACATTGACTGTGCCTTGTCGACCGCGGCTGTCTCGAAGTACCGCCTCGCCTCCACCTGTGGTTCGCATTTCGTATATGTCCTATCGCGTCAACAATCGTGCAAGATAATTATTCAAAAAGCGCGATGACGGGTTCCTTTGTTCGCCTTCAGGACATCATGCTTCCCGCGCGAGAAGTCAAGCCTCCCGGTTTGGAACTGAAGCTTCCCGGTTTGGACGCCGTCGACGGAGTGCAGCGCAGGCTCCAGGAGAGTCCGCCTCCGCCCGAGCTGCCAGTCTTTGGGACCTTCTTCCGAGCACTCGTGCCGATGGCGACTCCGGCGGACGTCGGGCGCGCATTCGTCTTGTTCTTCTGTGCCGTCCTCAACGTCGCCCTCACTCTGGACTTTATCCTCTACCCGTCGTTGACGCCGTTCCGTTGCGACGACCCATCGCTCCAGGCGGTGTACGGCAAGGAGGTCCTCAATACGCCATCCTTCATTGCAGTCGTCATCGCCGTAGCAACCTTCACCATCGCCGTACTTGAAGTCCGTCGAGCCGCGCCTGTACTAGACCGGGCCTACTGGCTCGGCCGGATCCTGAGACGTTACGTGCTTTGCCTGTTCATACTCAACATCGCGGTGCATATGGTCAAGTTCACGGTCAACTCCAAGCGACCACACTTCATCGACTCGTGCAAACCGGCGGCGAAGACGCCGAGCGGGACGCTTTTGGTCTGCACCGGGGAAGTCATCGAGGCTGATAACGTTTCCTCGGTCAATTTATTCGTTCGAAAAGAGGCTGACGCGGACGCCATGCTGGAGGCAGAAAATCGGAAAGTCATCACACCGAGCCGTACAAGACCGCCTGCCCGGCGCGAGGCAAGGTTCGTCTCTTCCGTAGTGGTGTACAGTACCGTTTTCAGTTCTTTGCCACGTACGAATGACAGTCGGAGACCTTCTGGGGCGGCAGTCGGGACACGCTCTAGCTTCTCGGCTCAGCACAATTTGAGCATAAAACCTTCCGTAGTTGTCTACAGTGCAACCCTGACTTCCACATCTGAAGAAGCACTCCGGAGTCTTTTCGTTAGGTACAGTGGACCCTTAAGGTCTTCGATGCAAGAAGCTGAACACCTAGCTCAGGACACTGGAAGCACCCATCCTTCAGTGGAATATAGGCTATCGCACCCTGTGGAAGGCTTCGACTCGGTGCAGCACAGCATGCGTCCGGGTCCCTCTGCCCAGAACAACGGAAGCACCAGTAGCCTTTTGGAGTACGGCGCTAATATACGTGCCTCTTTTCTGAACAATTCGGGATTGGGCTTTTTAATAAATACCAATAGAAGTCGACGTCTTTTAAACCAAGACAGGTTCGGGGCGCAAGAAATTTGGCGCAACACTTCGACCTCTAAGCTTCTGGGGCGACATACGACGGATCACTGGTCCCCCGGGCAATCCAACGCCCCAGCGGCGACTGTCGACAAAATCATCGATAAAAGATTTGTAACGCCCTTAGTCACCGAAAGGGACGGTGCTGGACCCTTGTTGCGCGGTTCCAGTGACACTGTAGAATACGCATTTGACAATACTCCCAGCCTAGCAAGCAGCGCGGGCAAGGATAGAAGACGTTGGCAGGAAGAAGGGCACCTTATCGCTCGCGAGGAGAATCGTGGCCGCTCGACCAGGCGCATTTTACACCATCTGAAGTTACCTCGTACTTCCGGCCGACTCCAATGGCGTCCAGAGACTGCTCGAGCTACCGACGACGAGCCGCGTCAGCACATCAAGTTCGGCATCCACAGGATGCAGCGGTCTGACGATGAGGAGACCACCAACAAGTCTCGCGTGATCAAGGACTACTTCTGCGCGGGTTCGCCGGATGCGGTGTCCAAGGCGGGACTTTCCTTTCCGTCGGGACACACCGCCGCGGCCTGCTACACGGGGACCTATATTGTCGCTTACGTGGTTCGAAGAGGGGACGCCGTGGCCTCGAAGTGGATACGGGTGACGCTGGTGGCTGTCTTGCTGACGGCCAGTCACGCGGTAGCTGTCATCAGGGTCCTGGAGGGGCTACACGGCTGGTGGGACGTCCTTGCCGGGGTCGGTCTAGGAAACTGCTGGGCTGTTGTTTGTGTCGCGTGGCCGATGAGTTGAATCGACACCCCCTATGTAGCGAGGTGGTATAGTGCCGGATTTTCGATCGTCACGTACCGGAGGTAAAGCCGCGCTTAGAACACGATATACTTTTGACGCCGCTTGGTTGGCTCCATCGGGCATAGTGTCCGCTGCAATCTAGTGCTAGAGCTTTTTTTTTTTTTTTTTTTTTTTTTGCGGAGTAGGCGTATTGGACTCGAGGGCTACTGCGGCAGCGTTCGGCTGGGGCTTGAGCTTATTCTGTGCTCCGTATATCGCCTCTCTTGCGTGACGTTGAAAATTGAGCACTATATAGGCCTTGTTGTTTAGGAGGTGTGGATAGAATGTAGGGCTGACTATCGCACATGTCGAAAAACACTGATACACGATGTGGCTGTTAATCGGTGAACGCTGAAGTGTGGACAATAAGGTGTTCTAATAATGTCGGTCAATTCGTGAAAATAAAAAATAAAAAAATCGATGACCGTTTCAGGTCTTTTATTCTATAGACGCTTTGCAGCAGCTGTGCATGGACGCCGCCATAACTGACCTTCAGTTTTTGCTTCCTCTTATTTCGTTTATTTCACTTCATCATTACGATAGCAGGCCAGGTAATTGCCATATTAGATTCAACTGTGTCCTTTTCTAAAGCATCGGCCTTTGTAGGGGATTGTCAACTACCGTTTCAGTTGCTCGGCATCTCGGTAAGACAAGAGAAGGTGAGCAATGGCGGCTGTAATTTGGCGCGTGTGTAAAGCGTCTATTGAGTTGGGTAATAAATTGTTCCAACTACGTTCTCCCCGGTAAAAAGAAGGAAAGAGAAACAGCCAAAAAAAAAAAAGGGGGGGGGGGGGCGGCTGAGAAGGGGTTCTTTTAAAGGTGCTTCTTCTTCTTCTTTTTGTGAGGTCCAGAGAAGGAAAGGGAAAGCCGGGAGAGATGTTGGCCTCCTGTACGGGGCGAGTCGCTACCCGGCTTGGGGAAGGGGGAGGAGCCGTAGGTGGCTAAAAGAGATAGTGTGGAAATTTGGAAACCAGTCCAATAATGTGATGGGGCTTTGGCACAAGTGTGGGTTTCAATTTAACAACCTTGCTGTTTGCGGTGTGTGGTATTAGGTCATAGACGGTCTGCCAAACCAGTCTCACTCAAGAAATCCAAGAGGTCTTTGTAAGCCCTCTGGACTAGCCGACGTGGGGCTTCTGGGATGAGGAGTTCCCGAGTGGTGGAGGAAGGAAGTCCATTGAAAGTGTAGCGTTGAAACAAGGTTTTACGCTCTTTTTCGTACTCTGTGCACACTAGTAGCACGTGTTCAATGTCCTCTAGGGCTCCACAGTGTAGACAATCAGGACTATTGACTCGTTGAAGTTTGTGCAGAGTTGATCTTGTGTTTGCGCAGTTTGCCCTCAGCCGATGTAACATTGACGCTTGTTCTCTTGACAGCTTGCGGGGGATTCCTGGAGGGGGCCGTCCTTCAGCCGTCTCTCGGTGTGGGTGGCGCTTTTGGTAGAAATTTCGTATAAATCGCCATGCTTCGTTGTACCGGCGAAGGGAAATGGTTGGGGTCTCAAGTCCATGGGCTTCAGTAGCGAGAGCATCCGCTTTCTCATTTCCCGCAATTCCAGTATGTGCAGGACACCACTGAAAAGCGAGTTGCCAACCCTTTCTTTCAGCCGACCTGGCAGATGCTACAGTTGTTGCGGTCAATGGAGTGCCAGACTCGGGGTTCCGGAGAAGTTGAAGAGCAGATTTCGAATCTGAGAATGACTGCTCTCCCTGGTGTTCCACTTCGCACTAGCAGCTCCAAAGCCCGCCAAATGGCCACCAGCTCCGCAGTAGTGGATGTTGTGGCGAAGTTCAGTCTGTCTGCAATGCAGACGCTGTGAGTTGGGATGAAGACTGCTGTCGAAGTAGTTCCTGTCGCCGGACTAGTAAAGCCGTCGGTGTATACTTGCAGCCATTCAATATACTCTGTGTAGAGTAGTTCCTGAGTCAAAAGGCGAGAAATTGTCCCAGAAACACTCGCCTTGCTATGCATGTAAGGGAGGGTTTCACTTATCGTCAGTGGTACTTCTAGATGAGGCTGCGGGGGTGGAGGGATATGTCCGGGTGGTCCTATAAGATCTTCGAACTGTCTCGCCAAGTAGCCAAAGCGCGAGTTCGGGCGATCAAGGACGTGTGAGAGTAGTGTACTCCCAGAGGACACACCATGAATTCGTGCAAGCTGGCGGCAGGCGCGCTCATCAGCCCGGAGGAAAACAGGCCATTCTTCAGCAGCAATGAGTGTGGCAACGTTTCCCGCGTATCGCGGCAGCCCAACGCACATCCTTAGTGCTACACGGTGAAATGTTTCAACGTCAGGTTGTTGTGCTGGTCCGATGTTGAGTAGTGGCAGAGTATAATGTAGGCGGGAAAGGATTAAACCTTTATATAACTGAAGGAGGGCGTGCTGTGTTCCCCAGGTATGGCCGCGGAGGGTGCCTCCGCGGCCATACCTGGGGAACACAGCACGCCCTCCTTCAGTTATATAGAAATTTCGGAGTTCTGCGGTGCGCAGAACTCCGAGAAGGCTGCGGCACTTGGAGAGAACTTTGCGGACTTCTGGTCTCCAGGTTACCCGATCATCTAACAACAATCCAAGATATATGTGTGTCCTCACCCTCTTGACTGGCATCCCAGCCATCTTGAGTTGCAGCGCTCGTTCGGGGGGGCGTCCTCTCGGACGGTAAAGCAGCGCTGCTGTTTTCTCATGGGAAAGTGTCAGTCCGAGTTTTTCGATGGCATTGCAGATTGTATCGAGTGCCTCTTGGAGTTGACAACGAATCTTCCTTGCCCTTCGAGTTGGGCCAGTGCACCAAAGAGCCACATCATCTGCATAGATGGATATCTGCACATGGAACGGTCCCTGCTGGCGAAGTGAGCTTGGAAGCGTTGTCATGGCCACATTGAAAAGTAAAGGACTAAGGACACTTCCCTGAGGAACGCCCTGAGTCACAGTACGTGGACTGCTAAGTGCTCCCGGGACCCTGACCCGAATCGTTCTACCAGAGAGAAATGCCTTAATATATTCGAGCATTTTCCCTTTTACTCCGAGCTGTCTGAGGCGCTGGAGGATAACATTATGCGGAAGTGTATCAAATGCTCGTTTTATGTCTAAAAACACACAGTGAAGCATGTTGCGGCGTGCTTTTGCCTCTTCGAGTGCAGATGCCAAGTCGCCCATTGCGTCTGCTGTACACCTCTTCGCACGAAATCCTGACAGCTGGTGTGGCATCGCATGTGATTGCTCTAGGTGCCATGTCAGGCGTCTCAAGACCAGGCGCTCAAGTAGTTTTCCCAGGCAGCTTGTCAGGGACACAGGTCTATAGGATGAGGGGGAGTGGCTTGGCTTACCGCATTTCAAAACTGGAATTACGATAGATTCTAGCCAGGTCATAGGCAGAATGCCTGTTCTCCATATTGAGTTGAGTGTCTCTAAAAGTCGTGGATGATGAGCTTGGTCTATGTTTTTCAATGCTTGATACGTGATTCCGTCTGGCCCGGGTGCACTTCGGCGTTTGCAATGTCGGAGCGCATACTGCAGTTCAAAGATGGTGAAGTCGTCATCTGCTGTGAATGCTTCAGAAATGGAAGTGCCTATCAGCTCTTGGGGTAAAACCACGGCTGGTGTAGGAAGGGGGCACGCAAATTCATCAGCTAGCAGTTCTGCCGTTTCAGTCATGGTTTTGTCGTTCCTAATGGCGAGTGCTGCAATTGGGTGACGAGGGACCTTCGCAGCTGCCAACGCGCCAACTAATTGCCAAGCTTGCGCGGCTCCCCTCGGATTCCCGAAGGAAATACATTTTTGAGCCCACTGATAGCGCTGCAATTTTTTTGTGTGCCTCCTGAACGCCGCATCTATTTTTTTGTAACGTGCCCAGTCGTATTCTGTATCTGTGTGCATAGCCCGTCGTTGGGCTTGTCTCCGTGCCGCTCGGAGGTTCAGAAACTCTAGGTCCGGGACGGGTCGCGTGATGGGAACCTTCACCAGTCGGGTCGCTCGTCGAATGCAGTTTTCAATGATGGCAGGTAGGTCTGTAGCGTTAGCGTCAGCCGCAGTTACCGATGCTGCCATGTATTCACGGTAAAGGTCCCAGTTGACTACTTTGCATGTTCTGGTGGCGACTGCACTTGCGTTCGGCGAGGCTATAATGATAGGAACATGGTCGCTACCCCATGTGTCTGGTTGTATTGCCCACGACACTTTGATCGCAGGCGATGCAAATGTGAGATCAAGGACGCTTTTTCTGACCCATTTACGGATAAATGTGGGTGCTCCGCTGTATAGAGTTGTGAGGTTCAGGGCCGCAATGGTATCTTCCAGGCATCTTCCCCTTCTGTTGGTTCGGCTATCACCCCAGTTGATGTTGTGTGCGTTGAAATCTCCAGCTAATAAAAGTTCACCTTTAGCTCTCTGTTGAATTTGGTGCAACACATCAGGGTCCTATGTGCCTCCAGGGGCTACGTAAATGGAAACTATTGTGGTGTCTTGCGTGCCGAGCCTTACTGTCACTCCCGCATACTCTGCCGTTAATGAGCAGAGATCTGAAAGGTCCAGGACTCTTTGATGGAGGCTTGATCTCACCAAAAGTGAAACTCTAGACCTAGTCTTTGAGTCAATTGTGGTGGAATTGTAGAAAACATATGGAGAGAGTCGTACCTCACCGTGCAGGATGTTGGTTTCTTGAAGTGCAACTACATCTGTGGTTCTCTGCTGCAGAATTTGCCGAAGTTCAGGAATGCGTGTACGAAGGCCGTTCACGTTCCATTGGAGAATTGATGGGAATTTGGGGTTCCGGATTCGTTGACACGGCCTGTTGGCTTTCCCTCCCTTTACTATGACTCCATAAGTGGAAGAATCATGTTAAGGAATGAGAGGAGAAGTCGTGCCCACTGCGAATCCACAGTAGATAGAAAAGCGCAAGCCATGCGGGTTGCCTTCTGAAGAAGTGGAATCCAGCATTCCCAAGCAGATTTAGCTGTGGGTTCAGCACTCGGGCTGGGAGGAGGCTGCGGCTTCAGTGCAGGCGTCACATTCAATGCTGGACTGACAGTGTCGGCTTTTGATTCCACAGTGCAGGTGTGGTGGTTGTTCAACTGAGATTCTCCCTTCGTCGTTTTGCCTT